AAATATCAGAAAAATCTACATGAGTACAGTAACGAAGTATTTGTACTTCATTACTTCCCATCTCTGCCTCTCACACAGCTCAGCCTCCACTCCATCAGCAATTAGTCCCACCTGTTAAGCACCAATTAGTCAAAACTCACTCCACCTGCCAGCCTCTCTCCATAAACCTCCCTCAGTTAGCTCATCCCAACACCTCTCCAGTCCTTCTGTACATCGTTCTCTGCACTGCTGGATCTTTTGGCTCCTGCCCTGTGAACTTTCTCGTCCGCCCCTGGAGATTTACAGCAGCTCAGCGTCTTCTAGATTCTAGAACACTCTCTGTGGTCTAAACCCTGAAAGAAAAGGCTGGATATGGAGGACCAGGAGAGTCATTAAACCACAGAGAGGGTGCAGCCTCTGTTTCTCCAGGAACTCTCGCTGTTTCCCTGCGGATTACTGCAGCTGATGCTCATCTGGAACCATCGCAGCCATGCGTTCTATGGACTCTCTTCATGCTGTTTTTCTGGTTGCCAAGGAAACTCCCTCTAGCTGCTACTTCGGTTCAACAACAGCCCTGCATCTCCAAGTACTCTCTGCCCGGTTCTCCAGCTCCCATCTACAGCTCCATTTCTAGTCCAGTACAGCCTCTGGTTACCTTCATCCACAACTTATTTCTTTCAATAAACCTTCAAAACTAGCTGTGTGTGTGTGGGGTGTGCATTCTGGGTTCATCAAAGAAAAATCCTGACAGTTACATCAGCTCACATAGTAAAATGAGAAGAATTTGATTTTTTTTAATATACTCTAATAATCCCAGAGGGAAATTACTTCTCTGCATTTCACCCATCCCCTTGGGGTGCATTGAGGTGCCATTGTGAGGCGCCCAGGGAGCAGTGTGAGGTTAAGGGTCTTGCTCAGGGACCCAGAGTGGCAGTCTGTCTGAGTGGGGGATCGAACTCACAATCTCAGGATTGAAAGCCCCATGCCCTAACCACTAGGCTGCCACTCCCCCAGGAAGAAAAATGTGCCAAAGGAAGAAAAAGGTGCATAGAATATATACAGTATATACATATGACAGCTTTTTTTTCTTCCTTTTTTTTATAGCAGGGTTATTATACAGGGTGTTTAAGTGGGTATTTATATAAATGGATATTTATATAGTTCTATTTATATTCATATATATAGTTATGGCACTGGGTGTTAAATATAAAGAAACAGGACATTGCAAACAGTATTAAATAGTAATTGCTAGGGATGCACGATATAATCGGCCCCCTATCGGTATCGACCTTAAAACTGAATATCGGACATCGGCCACCCCACCGATATTTAACCCGATATTTGATCAGCTTCTGAGTTTCTAAAGTCTAAAAAAAATATATAATACTTCTTCTTCTTCTTCCTCAAAAACTTCTTTTTTATAGACTTAAAAACTTCTAAAGATGAGGGAAGAAATATTGATACATTAAAAT